GGGGTTCGTGCGGGTCAGTGGGACACAGGGGAAGAGGGAGCACAAGAGGGGGCGCCACGATCAGTGGACAGAGATGGGGGCAGATGGTTGACCGCGCATTCCGCGGCGCGCTGAGAGCGTGCCCCGCAGGGGTCGTGCGTCCGGCCGCGTTGCTACCCCGGCTCGTTGGACTGCCGGATCTGCTGCTCCACTGCAGTCCACAGTCTCTACCGGCAACCTCGATGGCTTCCCACCTGAATATCCTGAAAACCCGCAGGATCCTCAGCAGCCGCACGAGCCGCTCAAAGATATCAAAGCTGCCGCGGGGCGCAAAGTAGGCCGCGACCATGGGCACCACGGTGACCAGGTCGACGACCGACTGCAGGCTGAACGCAAACCGCAGCCTGTCATGGGAGGTCCAGAGCCAGAAGCCCCACTCCGCGGCGAAGATGAAGCTGCAGACGAGATCGAGAAGCCGGAGGGACGCGTAGAGATCCGATCTGGGGTCCTCGTAGGTTTGGGCGATGTAGGTGGCGACGGTCAGCAGCGAGAGCAGCGCCGAAACGAGGTCGATTGCCATGCCCGCGCCGGAGCGCTGGACCTGCGGTGGGTTTGGAGGGCGCGGCGCGGCCGCCGCGGCGGGGCGGGGCGTGGCGGGGCGGGGCTGGGGCAAAGGCTGGGGTGGTGCACAAGCGGGCCCGGCGGTCTGCCTGAGGCGTGGTATGCGTTGCATGGGGCAGGTTTCAAGAGGGGATCGTGAGTTCGTGCGAGACCCACCCATATTGCAGTCCGCTTGGCGAGGGGCACCCGGCCGAAGGCGGCGTGGCCGAACGTGGCTGCCGGCGCTGACGCAAGGGCGGAGCCGCCTGCGGACTGTGAAGGCTGCCGCCCCCGCGAAGGCGCCATGCTGGCCGCGGCCGCGCAGCAGAGCTCCGGGCCTTCAGCAGACCAAGATGATGTGTGCTGGCGGCTGGAGGCTTGACCCGCTGACAGAGCAGCAGCGCTGGCCGGGTTGGCGCACGCGGTGCCCTGATGCTGAACTCTGGGGTGTATGCTGCTACAGTAATTGCTGTTGCCCCTACCAACAATGTCATACATCAATACGTTGAGGCCCTAGTTTGGTACACCTTATAACGCCCCACTGCTCGCAAATTCAACTTCAAATGAACGCGATCTGATGCGCGGGATACCTGAGCAGTGCGTTATAGCACGCTGCTGAACGTGTATTACAAACTTCATTGCATCATGGCTGATTCCATGCAATACGAGTGGACTGGCGCAGCAGTATCGTGTCGGGACAGGCCGCCTGCGCCACTCGCTGCACTTCGCGGGTGCACTAGATGAGGTGCAACGCTTCGTCAGCTCAAGGCCTCGCCTGAAAGTTTGTGCTATCAACAATCTTTGCAATGCCACGGTGCCACGTGTGGGACGCAGCATCTGAAGATGCTGCTGTGAGGTCTGCTTGGCGGTCGTTGCTGCGCTTGAACACACGCATGCACCAATTGGCAGCGACCACGGGCCTCAGCGCTTTGCCTGAACTCCTGAGAAACCTTCTGCGTCGGCCAGCAGGCAGCCGATGCTTCACCCGTTGCACACCAGCCGGTCAAAACCCAGTATTGTACCCCTACTGCCCTGCACATGATGGATAAAACCTACAGTTGCCCCCAAATCAAGCAAATCCTGGCTATTTTTTATAAGGACCAGGTGCGATTTGCGCTTGATCCTCTTGCCGCGTGACCAGCTGTGCACGACACTGATGCCAGCGACCGAGCGACGGTGCAAGGGAAGTAGTTGCTGCCGTGACTCGCAGCGGCCAGCTTGCGGTGAGCTGGGCGCAAGGACTATGTTAAATCAAAGTATACACGTATAATCAGCACTCGTAATTGTTACTTGCCGTCTCCAATTCTGTTCCTGGTTCCGGGAAAACGCATCCCTGATCAAGAGACATCGCTCCGTCGCACGGCTGGGTCACCGATCCATCGGAACATAATCCTTCGAGATGCAGCTGTCTCGCAACCACACCGTTGCCCCGGGCAGTCTGTGCAAGCGATATTTTGCCAGGCTACCTCGAGCACCGCGGCTCCTGCACGCCAACCGGTTAGTGCATTGGAGTATCATGTACATTTTACACATATATGGGGCGTGAGGCACGCCGTCTTGCAATCTCACCGGAGCGCGATTGGCGTTGACTGCGCTGTCGCAATGTCCGTCGCAGCGCACTTGACGTGCGCGCACTTGACGTGGATGCAACGTCCCCCTCAATGCAGCTCAAGAATCACGCGGCCATATCCAACATATTTATGACGCCCCAACGCATGACGCCCCCAGCGCTGCGCTTCCCCCTGTTGTCCCTTGGCCTCCCTCATTCGCCCACCTACCCACTCCTGCTGATGTCACACGGCCTCTCTCCTCTGACAGCCTGTTTTCCTTGCCCCTGCCCCCCAAAACTGCCGACCCCTCATCCAACCCTGACCTCCAGGGCTGCTGCCTCGGTGGACGCCCCATCCGCCCCCTACAACGAGCCCGGCCTCAGCTACAACGAGCAACACGACCGCCTCTACCGCACCGCCCGCGAGGCTGGCGTGCCCCTCAACCCCAAGCAGGTCATGACGGGGAAAATATGGGATCCAGAGGGGTGTTTCTCACATGGGAATTCCAGGATTCAGTGCGTAAACTGCCCGCAGCCGGCGCCACTGGCACCACACCTTGCGCCGCCGGAAGCGCCCGCACAGCCGTCCGTTCACCTCAATCACACAGAGTAAATTATGCACCTGAGCCTGAGCAAGCCTCCCAAACTCTTCTGCCATGGTTGCACAGGTGTTGACCAAGCCCGACCCCGCCGCCCAGGCCGCCGTCCCCGGCGCGAAGCGCATCCCCTTTTCCGAGGTCTACGCGACCCCCAAGACGCGCTCGTTCCTCGGACGAGCCTACGACGCCAACGATTACGTCTACCTCGGCTTCATGGGCCTGATCCACACCCTGGCCCTCCTGGCGCCCTTCACGTTCAGCTGGGCCAACCTCGGACTGTTCCTCGGGCTGTACTTCGTGACCGGCTGCCTTGGGATCACCCTGTCCTTCCACCGCCAGCTCAGCCACAAGGCGTTCGTCACCCCGAAGTGGCTGGAGTACGGGCTGGCGTACTGCGGGGTGCTGTCGGGGCAGGGGGACCCGATGATGTGGGTATCACACCACAAGTGAGCGGGATGGCAGGGGGCGCACGTACTGCTGGCTGCTCTTGCTTGTGTCGCAGGCTCAATGGAGCCGGGGTTCGAGCAACCAGGTGTAGGTATGCCGGCGATGGGCAGAGACACGGCGGGTTGATCGGCGGGGGGCAGGGGGTGATTCGCGTGGCATAGTTTTTGACAGCTCAGGGCGCGTGGGATGCACGATCAGCTTGCGTATACCGCAAGCCATCTTTCGAAGGACGCTTCGATGCATCTACATGCTCGCAGACACCCCCTCCACCCCCACTGCCGCAGGTACCACCACCTGCACACAGACACACCGCTGGACACCCACTCCATCTATGAAGGCTTCTGGTGCGACCCTTGCCTCCACCCTGTCCTTCTCGTTTGGGTTTCATACCACTGTGCTGACTGCCTGCTGTGCGGTCCGCATGCTGTTGTAGAACTGCTGACCCCTGACGCCGTTCGCCGCCAGCAGCCGCGCTACCCAAGCCCTGAGTGTGCACACAGCTGGGCCCCCCACACAAAACCGCGGTTGCTGTGTCGCTGTGCCCTGCAGGTGGTCCCACATGGGCTGGCTGTTTGATCACAAGGTGTGTGGGGTCGCTCGGGGAGGGGGGGCCAATAGTTCATCGATTAGGACACTCCTGTGGTTTTGGCTGCTTGAACCACCACTCATGTGCATCCTTTGAAACCACCGACGACCGCAAGGGAGGTGGCATCCCCTCGCAGACGCTGACCTCTGGCAACATTTTGCGATCCCCTTGGACACCACCCCAATTTCGACATCCTACCCGGCCCCGCCCAATCCTGAGACCATCACTGTCCCGCCAGCTGCAGCCCCTCCCCACGACCCCCTCCCCGCCCCCCTCAGGTCACCCACGAGCGCGCTGGCGACCGCTCCAACGTGTCAGACATGGAGGCCCAGCCCTACTACCGCTGGCTGCGCGCCACCTACCCCTGGCACATCGTTGCCCAGTTTGCCGCACTGTACGCGCTGGGCGGCGTGGGGGCGGTGGTGTGGGGCGGCGCGCTGCGGCTGTGCTGGGTGTACCACATCACGTGGTTTGTGAACAGCGCGACGCACTCTTGGGGCTACCAGCCCTTTGACAGCGGCGACTGCAGCCGCAACAACTGGTGAGCAGCAGCGTTTTTTGGGGAGTGCTTTAGGCTCCGGGCCTGAAGCACTTCACCAGGGCCTGGTGTTGAGCTGCTGGGATTCAATCATGCAAGTTGCAGCGGGGGGTGGGCGCAGAAGTGCTGGGTGGGGTGCATGAATCCTTGATTGTCTTCATTTATATGCTACAAAATGCAGAGAAGGGGTGTGCAATGTTGGGCCCTGATGCGGCGGCTGGCTCCTGTTGGGGCGGCAAGACGACTGTACACGTGATTGCCGCGCGCCCCGCAGGTGGGTTGGCCTGCTGGCGTTTGGTGAAGGGTGAGTCCAGCAATTTGGGCTGTGCCTCGTGATAATAGGAGCTGTTGTCCGTGTTGTCGATTGAGGCTGGCAAAGCAGCTGCCGCCTTGCCGTCTGCTCCTCAGTGAGACTGGTTTTGGCCAGTGCCTGGGATATAGTGTGGCGCATTCCCTGCTGCATAGTCACTTCCTTGAGATCATCCTTTCCTCACTTTCCCTGTCGCTGCCCCCTTGAACCCTGCCAATACAAATCTACCAGGTGGCACTGCACCCACCACAGTGAGTGAAGCCGGTATCTGAGTACCTGCACGTACTCTCGTACAAATGCATACCGTGTACACACTGGCAAACCCTGGAACTATCATCCTATACATTAATTAGGGAAGCAAGTGATGCTGCACCTCCAGTGTGGCGCTGCAGGGCCCTGCCTTGCGCCGCTGAGCCCCACAAGAAATCAATGTAGGCAAGTTAGACTCCCAGACGCGGATTGAGGCCGGTAGGGCCCGCGAGCAGGCGGGCAAGGGGCAAAACAGATCTGGGATCCGCCCTCAAGGGCTGGACGGCCTTCAAGGGTACTGATATGTGATGTAAAGGACTTTTCCACAGGATATACACCATATGAGCGCGTGTCACCAAGGTTGGCACCAGTGGTGGTTGCCTGGCGATTGCCGAGTGTCCGGTACATGCATACGGTAGTTTTTGTGCCAAAGCAATCGACGCCCTCATAATCTACTGCGCTGCTTATCAAGAGCGTTTGATAACCGCGCAGGCGTACTTGATCTTCGAGTGTTTGATGGAGAGCCCACGCGTGCCTGCACCAGCTCAGTCCTATGAGGAATTTGTTAAATCTTTAGTTTAACAAACAAGTTGCAGCCGCCGCTGTGTCCATCGCTCCATCCAGTCTGCAAGTGTGCGCAATGCTGCTGACAGCTGGGCTCGGCGCATGGAGGAAGGAAGGGTGTTGTTATTTGTTCCACGGATCGAACAGCGCCAGGCAGTGGCAGCGTTATGTTTTTGTTGCCAACAGCACGACATCGAAAGCAGTAGCAGCCTCTGCAACAGCGGCGCAGCAGCAGCGGCTTTGGCAGCGGCAGCGCAAGACGCAGGCCAGCCTAATCCTTTGGAGGGAACCAGCTAATCCTAATCCTGGCCCAAGTGGGCCTGCAGACCGCACCCGAATGTACTGCGGTCCTGCGCTGGGCCCAGCTTGGGATATCGCGGGGTGATTTACTGAAGCGGGCTAAGCGCGAAACAGGCAAAAAGGCATGCAAGGCAGTAGCCCCCCTTCTGTTCGGATCAACC